GAAGTACAGTTGGCTTCTCTGGAGCTCATGAAGGACCTGGGAGGCTTACCAAAGCATGGGGTTTGTTTCAGGTGAACTCTGCCTAGAAGGCTCCGTCTAGCCTCGTGATAGGGCAATAGATGCTAGGCAAAGTTTAAGATCTGACTGCACTCACAACCAGGTAAATAATACCAGAGATGGAGACATGTCAATAGGTTGGAGTTTGCATCTCAGACATTCTTATGCTTTTTGGTTCTAAGCTTTCCAATACAAGCAATATTTTTACTGTTTTATCATTTTGAATTTCCTATTACTGTCTGACTCTATTCTGTGCAACTTTGGGCTCTGCCACTGAGATTAGAACTCAATGTTTACAAAGGATTGGATATGGCTATGCCTGAGCTGGATGGTGAAACATTCCCATGAGTTGATCATTGCAAACATCCCCATGGGTTGATGTCAATTTTCCTCACTCTGGTTCAAATGTTACCCTTATATTTAAAGTATGTATTTAGAGTAATCTGTGTAGACTCTCTAAGTTTTCAATGGTGGTTTTTTTTTTTTTTTTTTTTTTTTTTCTTGTAGTCTTTGCCCTTTGGAAAACTAATTCCAAGCCTTTACTAATGGCCAGAAAAACCTTTGAATGGCTTGGTGGCCTCAGCCATTATGGAACAACTTCCCATTTTAGACCAGGAATTTGTGGGGTCAAACCCTGAACAAAGAAAGAGATTCTAACTCACTTAGCAGCCAGAGGAATTCAGTGGCAATGAAGGGTTTGAATTGTAAATCAAGCCTGTCATCTCCTTGTCAAGTGGGAAAACCTCTGCTCATTCTGTGTGAGACTGAACTATGTTATTAGGATCTTTAATTGTTTTCCAAAAGGTTGAGGGGAATTATACCCATGAAGCATTCCTTCTAGCTGAACCATGAGTCTGAAGTTAGGAAAAGAGCAATTCATATGGTGCTATTTAACAACCGTTAAGTCATGTATATCTGCCACAGTGAGACTATTTCTTATCAGTGCAGTCCAGGTCAGTATTTCTCAAAGGGTGTTCTATAGGGGTCACGAACAGCCCAGTAACCTAGGTTTTCTTGTGATATCTGTGATGAAATGAACAGATAGAAACTAGCTTCTTCCCATTTCTGTCCACCAAAAAGCAGCTTTGGCTTTTTTTCCCCATGAATTCTGGGGAGATACTTTTTAAGACTATTCCCAGAGACAAGAAGAGCCAGTGGTCCACACAACCTCTCACCTCTTTAAAAATTTGATACTGGGCGAAAAAAATTGCTTCCATAGTTGAGAACAGAAGGCTGTTTGGGACAATTTATTGTGATGATTCAAGATTCATTATCCATTCCACAAATATTTATTGAACGCCTACTAGGGAAGTTCTAGGCAGTGGAGCCCAGGCTTTGGTGATTGCCAAACCAAACTTGGTTTATTAAAAAAAAAATCCCATCCAGTAAAACAACTGAATGGGAAATGAGAGGATGAAGCCTTACTTCTGAGGACCAAATGCGGAATAACCTGGCTAGAGCCCATGTGAATCATTTGGCCCACTTGCTGGGTGAAAAAAGAACCTGCACAGAGCTTCAGTAGGGTTCTGAGAGTGTAATTACTGCACTATGCGCTAGAAAAGAACCATAATAATAGACCGTAAAAATCAACCATGCCTCTTGACTAATACATCAGACCAGATCATACCAGTTGATAAAAGTAATGAGGCCTACATGGCAGAGTGATTCCATTTAGAAAATCTATTGCAAGCGCCTACACGGAGAGGAATTAGCAAGCGAGTGTTGTTTGCAGAGGCAGCATGTGGGAACTGTAGACCATCAAAATTAAGGAGCTGAGGTTTATACAGTACATACATGCCCACTCATAGTAGGCCTACTGAGCCCTTGAAACCCACTTTATATCAGCAATGGCTGTGTATCTCAAGACTTTCCTTCCAATGTTATGTTGTCAAACAGATTTGCTTCATATTTATTGCATCTCATTTAACAAATTGCTATAGATTCATCTGTGTCTGGAAACTAAACTAAAAGCAGGGCAATACTAACAGCAGAATGTACTGGCGATTGTACTTGTGTCTCTAATACACATCAGTGTTTATCAAAGTATATTAATCATATTCCTCTAAGCACAACAGCCACACAGCATAGGCTTAGTACCACAGAGTAAGGTGTTGGGCTCTGATATGTGTCCAGGCATGAATAGCAGAGCTTGATTCCAAGACATTTGAATCAACAAATTGTGACTGATAATTAGGGAGGCCAAGCAGAGCCGTAGAGTATTGGTATGATGAGCTTGAGTTTATGGGGACCAGCAGACTGGTGGGTCAAGGAATGTGACTGAGCATGGATTATAGTGGAAAGACAATTTCTCCTCAGACTAAGTGCCTGAGTTTAGCTAAATCTTTCCTCACTTTGGCTTGTTAAACTTTTTAGAGACTCAACAGAACTGTTTCTGGGACTTTCATTTAATTACCATTAATTACTACCTCCTGGTGTCGGCCGTAAATATGCATATCTAGAACTCTCCCATTTGACTATCATGTAATTGTTGTTTTGATTGTAAACATGCTGTTCTTACAAAGCTCTCAAGTAGCACCCAAGAAAGAGCCCCATAGGCAAACAAAGGGAATAAATCGTAATTTGTAATTTTACACACAAGGACTGATTCATACCGGAGTGAGGTTCCAGTGACACTTATCCACAACCTTATTTTACCTCCAAGGTACTCCAGTCTTCTACATGATTTCAAAATGTCTTACAGGCTCCAAACCAAGGAATCACATTCAGAAACAAAGGGGCTGAAGATAGATTATCGCTAACTCTATTGTCAATAAGGGGACACTGAGGAATTAGGCCACTGTCAAGCAGACAGACTCACAGATGGAGACTCATTTCCAGGAAAGCACTGAAAAGTTTTTGTTGTTATTGTTGTTTAGAAAAATATAGCAGATTTAATTCATAGATAAGTTAGTTTATCATATTTCTTAAGGTAGTTTATTATAGTTATTCTGCTTCCCCAAACAAGATTATTTCTCTTTACTTTTTGTCACCGGAAGGACAGATGTACTGTGACCAGCGATGGCAACATCAAAGAAATAAATAAATAAAAGAGAAATTATTATTATTATTATTATTATTATTATTATTATTTTTGCTCATAACTTTCTTCCAACAAGAGCAAGAAGAAAGATTTGAAATACCCTTCAGTTTTATTTCTTCTCATAAATATAATACATTAAGGTGGTCATGGTTTAGCGGAACTTTTTACGCATGTTATGAAAGAGTGGGGGGGGGAGTTTAGAGGGCCCAAGTACTAAGACACTGTGTTTAAAGGAGCCATGTTAATTACCTCAGTTTGAACATTACAGGCCATACATGAGTTGTTGAATTTCTACTTCATACATCATAAATATATGTTGATTGAAATAGAAAAATTAAAAACATTAACTCATAAGAAAAAATATAAGTGAACACAGAAAAGAAATTTACATAATGATGCTTAATGTGGGAAAGCATAAAAATTATGATAATCACTGTATTGTGGGGCAGCCAGTGGGAAGTCCTTCTCGAACAGTGCTCCTCAGTCTTCTTAACACTGGAGCCCTTGCCAGGTGCAGTGCTGCATGCCTGTAATCCCAGCACTTGGAGAGGCAGAGGCAGGAGAATCTCTGTGAGTCCAAGGGCAGTCTGGCCTACAAAGTTTGTCCAGGACAGCCAAGGCTACACAGACAAATCTTGTCTTGAAAAACCAACCAAACAACCAAACAAAGAGCAAACAAACAAAAGACCCCACTGCCACCCTTTAGGCTCAAGCTCCGGTGACCCACACCATAAAATTCTTTTTCATTTCTACCTCATATCTGTAACTTTGCTATTGTTGTGGGTTATAATGTAAATATCTGATGTGTTCCCACATATCTGCATATCTGATGTGCAGCCCTATGAAAAGGCCATTTAATCCCTGGAGGGGTCTCAACCCACATGTTGAGAAACACTGTTCTATAGACACAAGTGGGGCATTGCTTAGTTGAAACTGCTTGCGAACCGAGGAGTCACGGTTAGGAGAGGGTTTACATTTTTCTCTGTTTTGAGTTTGGTATTTTAACATCTATCTAGCAATGTTTCTAAGGCAAACAAATGTCCTCACTTTGTGTTTTGGAAAAGTGTGAGAGGATGCATATGTTTTCCTAAAGAATAAGTGTTTGGAGAAGGAGGTGTGAAAGGCACAGACTAGACGTGTTTGTTTCCCTCAGCACAGTGGGATTCCTCCACGATGCCAAGGTGCCACTGTCTTCCCTTTGGCATCAACCACAGGCAGCATTTTAAAGAATAATTGCTTCCTGTGCTCAGGGTTAAGGCAGAAGGTTTTGGAACTCAGCAATGTACCATCAAAAGCACATGCCATACAAATTCACAATTCTAAAATTGATTTAAAATATTTAGAAAACCGTCTAAAGAATGTAATTTAAGTTTGCCTGGTTCTTCCTGTCATTAAAAAGAAACAAAGCCAACAGCAACAGCGGGTTAACCACAGAGCCGTGAAGACCACACTTTTATGGACATTTGGGATCACTGGTCCAGGTGATTTTGACCATGCTCAATTTTTGCCCGGTGAACACAGAATTGAATGAAGTCTTCCCTCTTAGCTGACCCAAGTAGCCAGTTTCAAAGTTCTCAGCAGGGCTGAGGAAGGGTGGGATGTGCTTTGCCTTTGCATCTTGCTGGGGTCTTACCTGGCAATTGCACCCACACTAGCTAGCATTCCATAGGCAGGCTATAGGTGCCAACATTATCATGGCCTCTTTCTTTAATATGCATGGAAGAGAGGACACTAGGAACTCAGGTCCGGAGAGCCGATACCCAGGACCTGTGTTCACTATTCATGTGTAATTTGTTCAATTAGGGAATGGCAAAAACAGGCTCCCGTTGTTTGTCCTCTTCTTGTACTTAAAGCCAAAGAAAGAGACATTCACGGATTTCTCTTTTCCTTTACCCTTTAGATTTATGAGGATTCCAAGATGAACTTGGAGCAGGAGAGGCCATTTGTCTGCAGTGCTCCAGGCTGCTCCCAGGTGAGTGTACGGATCATCTGTGCTCCAGTGTGTAGGAAATGCTTCTGCCTCCCCCTGGGAAGGTTATCACCCATTGAGCCACCATTTCTATTGAGCTTTCTTTCTTCACTGAAATACTTTTAAAGTCTCCGAAATCATTGACATTATGTTTTCATCTTCACTACTGCCAGATCGCACTTTATGGTTTGAAATACCTCTTGTTCACCCCGAAACACAGTCGTGTCGACATCCCTATGAGTAACTCCCTCTGGAAGCAAGCAAGACACATCCTGCCCATCGTTTCCATTGGGCTGTCATTCAGAAAGGGGAAGGTGTGTGTACTTCACAGCAGCCAGGTGCACACAGACTGAGCTTCCCTTTTGATGAGATGCCTCCTCATTTTGGGTTGAATTTTCTCCTTTTTGAGAAGACCCCTATTACTATTCTTGAACTATGGTTCTTGGGTATAGACGTTTTAAGAGGTGTGGATACCTTGGCTTGCAGGATTGACTCTCAGGGTCTCTAATAATTCTCTTCAAATGCTAAGCATGAACATTAGATAAGATACTGCCTCCAGAGTGTTTAACACAGGACACGAACATAGTATTCAATTAATACCCACTTTTGTTACCACTGCTACTAAATATATTACACTAGAACCTATGCCTATTACATTAAAAAAAATCCAGTTTTGTATTCTATTTTTAAAACTTGAGGGTAATTTTTCCTGCTCCTGATTGAAGAGTCCATCTTTGGGTAATAACCATATTCCAGGGATTTTGATATATCGAAATGATTTTTATACCAAGATCTTTATTTTATAGGAAATAGGACAAATTTCAGAGTCTGAGCATAAGCATTTTGCTAATGTGGGAGATCTCACTCATTCCCTAATTTGTATGTACCAAGAAAAACAGGGCCCACTGCCATCAATTGGTATGACAGGATTGGCAGTCCTGTGCAGAGCAGTGCCTAAAGATCAGGAGGAAGTCAGGTGAGTATTCTCCTTACTGTGGTTTCCCAGAGTTCGTGGAGGATTCTGGGAGAAGCTGAGCAGGAGTTTTAGGAGGGACAAAGTCACAGAAACACAAGACGTTGTTGCTGGTGTTATCAGCTGGTGAGCAACCCGCTGGAATTTTCATCAGAGCTTTCTGTGTTAACGTTTCTAACTTGGAAGCAAGAAAATGAGTAGAGAAAAATATTTTTGGGCAAATGGGTTTTGAAAGCTCATCCCAAAGTAGGAAATACTAAGAGAATGTGGATGGGTTGATAAGTAACTAGGAAAATCCTGATAGACGAGGATTTTCCATGGTAAAAGCAGAAGGTCTCCTTACTAAGTTAAAACCTGGTCCCTAACTAAAGCAACACTTCCCTCCCAGTTTCTTCCAAGGGGAGCCTCTTTGGCCAAAGGAACCCAGATAACCAGAGGGATTTGCTTTGCCCAGCTGTGACTATAGACATTAAGTTTTATTTACTACAAGCCACCTAGACACTTTCTCATACCCACCTGAGCATGTCTAGGCGTTCCCCATGTCTTGGCTGCCCCATGAAAACCACGCTGCTCCAAACACACACATTTCTGTTCTCACAGACCTTCTGGTCTGAGCATCAGATCTATAATCATATGATGAAATCATCAATTAACTAGTCAATTGCAATTTTTTCATAAACAAAACAAAACAGACCACACTGGGGAACTGACTTACTTGGGGGGAAGGTAGATGGATGGCTTCTTGATGGGACAGGACCTCCACAGATCCAGGGCTAGCCTGGGAGTCCCAGCTATGTTCAGGGTTGGAATGCCAGCAGAGAAGAGCATCTAGCCATATGTGGGATTCATGTAAGTCAGATTAGAGGGAGATATGTACGCATAAGTTTTGACCTGTATGGCACGTACTGCCCCAAGCTCAGCACCACTAACATCTAAGGCCATGTAGCTCTGTGATGTGGGCATTACCTCACGTATCACAGAGTACCTGGCCAGCAGCATCTTATCTCAACCCATCAGACTCCACAGCAGCAGATGTCCTCGAGGGTCAAATTTCTCCTGGTTGGCAATGCCCATGGTTTCACTTGGGGTTTAGCCTTGCTTTTCGGTACCCCTTCTTTTCTGGGCCCCTAAGTTCTAACTAGCACTCTCCCACTCTGTTCCATGCATTGCTCTAAGCCATATTTCCCTCACTGGAGTCATACAGGGTATGAATACATCACTGCCATAGATGTGTAGTTGCTGGTGTCCTGTGCTTTTGGAGCTGTGATAGTTGGAGCATGGAGTGAAGGCTGTTGGATTTGGCAGTTAGGTGCTTGCAGGAGACATGGGAGAAAGCAGAGGGTGGAGGCCCAATTGAAAGGGATTAATGAGTGAGTGGGCGGCAAAGGAGCTGGAGCAGCGGCATAGAGGGGCCTTTCAGGAGCAGGAGGCAGTACCGGAAAGCAGGGTGATCTAATGTCAGTCTGCGAGAGAGGCGGCTTTGTTAAAGCTAAAGGATGGCCAGGCTGAACTTAGTCAAGACGAGAAACCAGTGAGAGGGCAGGAGAGAGCAGGAGGGCTTGAGGGAACAGTGCCAAGAAGACAGAGGGTGCCTGCGGGGCAGTGGGCATCCTCAGTTTATTTGAGCCTGGAGGGGATAGAGGGAGAATCTGCTAAGTCACAGGTAGTGTCTAAGGGGATTGAGTGTGGTGGACTTTTGGGCTTAAATGTGTTTTGTGTGTGGCATGGGGATTTGAACCTAGGACCTCACATATCCTAGGCAAGTACTTTACTACTGACACCTATCCTCAGCACTTGAATAGGCCCCATTTTAAATGACCTGGCATATCTTGTTGGAGGAGCGAGCCAAGGCGTTTCTTTAATGAGGCTAAGTGGACTGTGGGAAATGCTGGATGAATGTGAGGAATTAGGATTTATTCAGTGTCTTGATTTTAAGGGGACAATTCCAAGGCTCCACCCCCAGCTTTGGATGTGATGACGTATCTGTAAGTCAGTGCTCCCTTGATGTGGAAGTGTTTCTTTTTTCTTGGTAAACTGTTATAAAACTATGTCCCTTTTAGTTGAACAAAAATCTAGACATCAGCAGGAAGTCCTGCGTGTTATTGCTGGTGGAATATTAGTAACTCACAACTGTTGTGATCACAGCATTTTCCCTAGTGTCAGCCCATACTCTGGGAACTTGTAGAGAAAAGATTAGATGCCTTGAAGATGAGTAGGCAGAATTGTTAGTGCTTGTGTTGTCTTGGAGGAGGTGAAGGAAGGACTCCTCCACATTCTCCCCTTGGACAGAAACCTTGCTCTGTTTGGGGACAGCCTCTGTTACCTGGAAGATCTTTAAGACCTAATCCTTAAGCAGGATCTTTGTCTGCAAACACTTGCTGTGCTTTCTGGTTTCTCGGAGCCCAGTGTTCCCACTCTCTCCTTACTCTCCATGTTGATTGTTCTTTTCAACTCCCATGTTTTATACTATGCATCTCACTTACAATTTGCATTGACTCATCTTATTCAGAAGGCGACTTCAGTTAATATGCAGTGTTATAGCCATGTACCTATCATCCTGGCACTCAGGAAGCTAAGCAAGAGGATTCTGAGCTCCTGGTCAGCCTGGGCTAGCTAGTAAGCCTTTGTCGAAACAAAAGAAAAACCTGGTTAAATATTTCATCCTGGTTATTGTGTGATGCTTTCCTTAGCATCTACTAGTTTACAGAGTCAAAATGGCTTATTATGGGCTGGAGAGCTAGTTCAGTGGTCAAGGGCAGGAAATGATGTCACAGAGGACCCAAGTTGGGGTTCTAGCACCCACTTCAGTTGCCACAGAGCCACCTCTTATTATAAGGGTACCCGACGTCCTCTTCTGGCATTTGTGGGCACCTGCGCACACACAGACATATCCCTCCCACATACATACCCCACATACACACAATTAAAAGGAAATCTTTAGAAAACATTTTAAAAACAGCTTATTAAATCTAGAGAGGTGTCTCAGGAGTTGATAGCATTGGCTGCCACCTCAGAGGCCCAGGTCAGTTCCTAGCACTCATAGGGCAGCTCACAACTATCCGTAACTCCAGTTCTGTGAGATAAGATGCCCTCTCTGGCCTCTATAGATTCTAAGCACACCCTTGTCACACAGACATACATGCAGGCAAAACACTTTATGCATATAGAATAATGTAGGTGTAAAAAATTTAATACTTACAATAATTTAATGATTAAAATTAAAACTTTTTAATTTTTAAAATTAGTTTGAAAGGAAAGATATTGCCATGCTGCTTATATTACATTAACTGCTCTCTGTAACTGGTTTGCACTACTCTTAAATGTTTGGTGTTAAGAAAATCAAGAGAATAGATAGCATGGAAACAGAAAGCTCTAAAGTTATATGAAGCAAACCTCTGTGTGACCTGAAGTCGCCGTAAGTGCCACTCTGTAGACTCTTCAGAATATGATAGAAGCATCAAGTACATACGTGATGCTCACACCAGGGGCCACTTTCGGGACCTCTCATAGGTTTCAGCCTAGTGAATTTCCCCTTTGGACCACAAGTCCATTCTCACTGTAGAAGAAAACTTCAACCATTGTGTACAAAGGTAATAGAGGTTCATATTGACCATCCTGAGTTCTGGAAGTTTCTTTTCAAGTTATCAAAAGACTCAGATAGAGTCTGTTCAATATCAAGTTACAGCCAAACCATGAGGCTCATTTCTGTTACCATTTCTATGGTAGAATTTTAGGAAACTCTTTTTTTTCTCCTTTAGAATTCAGCACAACCCTTGAGAGATTTGGGGTGATGGAGGGCCGCTGCTTCCAGTGGGAGTCGCCTTGCTGTACCGTGAATCTGGCAAGGGAAAGTGACGGAAGGTTTTACACCCAAGCTCAGACACTTGCCTCTGGATTTTCATTCCTGATGCAATAGATGGGTCACTCACCTGACTCTACTCAATAAAGAGAGCCAGAAATGGCCAAAAATAATTGATACCAACATTTTTGACAACCCTAATATCATTCCTGAAATTTTCAAATAAATATGGGCTGACTACAGTATGCAGAGTATAGAACACCCCAGATGATTTGTCATGTTGCTGTAAAATCATATGTATAATTTGAAAAAAAAAGCAGCTAATATGGGGACTAGGCCCTTATAAACAGAAACATACCATAAAGACTTCATGGTGTATGTTAGTAGATATATTTAAAAAATTAAGCATGGCATGGAGTTCTTTCCTGAAGTCTGACATAAATAAAAATTCTTTCTGTTTCATGCGTTTCTCTTATTTTTGGTTAATCTGTAGATAATGTCTGGCATACTTATCGTGCCGTAGACTTAATTTTACACTATTATGTAAAACAGTATTACAGGAAAGTTCCACATGGTTTTGCATATTCCCTGTGCTGCTCAGATCTCCATCCATTTTCTCTTTTTGGATGCTGTGCTCTCTGCTGTCATTAGTTACATTTCAGTTTCAGAACCGTGAGAAGCTTTCCTTTCAATGCTGCTGTTTTTCTTTCTTTCTTTTTTTTTTTTTTAGAGGCTTTCTAACAAAGGCAGGCACTAGGGTGCAATATGCCTTTGGTGTGTATGCTGTTTTAGTACCCTCAACAGGACTTTTTGCATTTTCTGTTTCATTATTTAGCAAAGGATAAGACAAAGTTTTTGAACTTGAAATTTTTCCTCCAGATGGAAACCTCTAATTCTCAAGAAACATACAGATTCTGTGGTTCCCTGGTCAGCCAGTGCAGCTGGGTTTTATGCAAGAAGCAGGGGACTTTGGGAAAGTTTTAGGGGCAGATGTGAGGAGCTTCAGAATGACCAAAAGCAGAGATCATTATCAGTATTCCTCTGCCCTACAGGGAAGCCTCTTGGTAAACAAATGGACATGATGATGATGGGCATATTTGTGTATAGCTGGGAGGAACCCCTTCCTCTCAGCACTTGAGTGTAAATCAGATGGAACTTTATTTACTCCTATGATAACATTTTCTTTTCAGAACCAATTTTTTTTTTTTGCCTGTCTTGTTTTTGATGTTGAGTATCTTTCTCTCTTTGATGTCAAATATGTGTTGCAAACTGAATGTCTCCTGTTCCCCTCTCTGCTTACCTGACAGCGTTTCCCAACAGAGGACCACCTGATGATTCACAGGCACAAGCATGAGATGACTTTGAAGTTCCCTTCAATAAAAACAGACAACATGCTATCAGGTAAGAGAGCACCAGGCACGGAAGGTTTGGAGCATGAAAACTCGCCATCTTTCTGCCTTTACCTCCTCAGTGCTGACATTGTAGGCGTGGCTCTCCCCGCCCTTTGTATCTCTTTGTTTTTATATGTCGTATTGAAACTTGGCTCTATGTTATTTTCAACTTTATACCTTAGCCACACAGGTAACCATGTGAGCTAAGCCTCCGCACTGTGTTGTCCTGCAGATGTGTAGGTCAGTCTATTTCTTGCCTTCATGGATGGATACCAGGAGAGGCTTTCATGTGAACAGCAGGCTAAAATTAAGGATCATCCTTGATACAGTAATTAATGACAATTTAATATTTAAATCAAATTAATTATTAATTAAATCAAATGAATGTTGTTGGGAGCCAGTGCCATGCAGCCTTAGAGGAAGGGGCCCGGGGAGTGCTCAGGGAAGGTTTCCCCAAGAAATAAGACTTGCTTCTTAAGTGGGTGATTAAATGAGGTTATGCTAGAAACATGATCCATGAATGGGAGCAAAGTGAATCCTAATTAGTCCATCAACTAATTTCCTTTTCATTTCTTCCCATCCTAAAGAGAGATTAGAAAAATAAAGTTATAGGACTGGAGGAAGTTGAGAGCTAGTCTGGGCTCTGTCTTGACCCTATGACCCTAAACAAATAATTGAGGCTTCCCAGGTCTCAGCTGGGAATGGGAATGGGAATGGGAATGGAAATGCTTGTATCACCACAACACAGTTCACTAGCTGAATGTGAAGGGCCAATGGAGGGAGGTCAGAGCGTTTCATAGACCTGAGCATGGTGCCCAGATCATTTCCTTCTCATAGGAACTATTTGACTTGCACCTGTCTCCCTGACATTAAGAAAAAGATTATACCGGTACTCCCATTGGTCATATGAGTTAGTATCTTTTGTGGCATTTAAAATTTCTAAGGACTTTATTTTGCCATTAATCCTATGGAAATTGTCAGTTTGTTGCCATGAAGGGTGTAAGAAATTAGAGCAGCTATCCTTTAATTACCAAACAGGATAGTGTGGAGGGCCCGTGATCCTCAGTGCTCCCGCTGATACAGGCTAGGCTACTGCTGTTAGCACCAGGCTGTGCTGGGTTAGACATGAGAGCAGATGTATTTGAGCCATCACAGTTTCACAAGCCACCAGAGTGGCCTGAAGCTGTCGCTGATGCTCTGAGCTCAAGAGACCAGTTCAAAGGGGATCTCTTCTCTTTTTCCTGTCACTGCCCACCTCTGCTCTCTGCTCTTTGCCCTTGTTTGTTTCTTTTTTTATTATTAATTACACTTTATTCACTTTGTATCCCCCCATAAGCCCCTCCCTCCTTCCCTCCCGATCCCACCCTCCCTCCCCCTTCTTCCTGAATGCCCCTCCCCAAGTCCACTGATAAGGGAGGTCCTCTTCTCCTTCCTTCTGATCTTAGTCCATCAGATCACATCAGGAGTGCCTGCATTGTCATCTTCTGTGACCTGGAAAGGCTGCTCCCCCCCTCAGGGGGAGGTGATCAAAGAGCAGGCCAATCAGATTATGTCAGAGGAAGTCCCTCTTCCCATTACTATGTAACCCACTTGGGCACTGAACTGCCATGTGCTACTTCTGTGCAGGGGTTCTAGGTTATCTCCATGAATAGTCCTTGGTTGGAGTATGAGTCTCTGGGAAGACCCCTGTGTTCAAAGTTTCTGGTTCTGTTGCTCTCCTTGTGGGGTTCCCGTCCTCTCCAGATCTTACTATTTCCCACTTCTTACATAAGATTCCATGCACCCTGCCCAACAGTTGGCCATAAGTCTCAGCGTCTGCTTTGATAGTCTGCAGGGCAGAGTCTTTCAGAGGCCCTCTGTGGCAGGTTCCTAGGTTGTTTCCTGTTTTCTTCTTCTTCTGATGTCCATCCTCTTTGCCTTGGGGATTGAGCGTTTTAGTCAGGGTCCTCTCTTGATTAGTTTCTTTAGGTGTACAGATTTTACTAGGTTTATCCTATGTTATATGTCTCTATGAGTGAGTATATACCGTGTGTCTCTTTCTGCTTCTGGGATAGCTCACTCAGGATGATCCTTTCCAGGTCCCACCATTTACCTGCAAATTTCATGATTTCCTTATTTTTCATTGCTGAGTAACAATCCATTGTGTAGCTGTACCACAATTTCTGCATCCATTCTTCAGTTGAGGGGCATCTGGGTTGTTGCCAGCTTTTGGCTATTACAAATAAAGCTGCTACAAACTTGGTTGAGCAAATGTCCTTATTATGTAGTTGAGCGTCTTTTGGATATATCCTAAGAGTAGTATGGCTGGATCTTGAGGAAGCGCTATTCTTAGTTGTCTGAGAAAGCGCCAGATTGATTTCCAGAGTGGTTGTACAAGTTTACATTCCCACCAGCAATGGAGGAATGTTCCCCTTTCTCTACAACCTCTCCAGCATGTGTTGTCACTTGAGGTTTTCATCTTGGCCATTCTGATGGGTGTAAGGTGAAATCTCAGGGTCGTTTTGATTTGCATTTCCCTAATGGCTAATGATGTTGAACATTTCTTTAAGTGTTTCTCTGCCATTTGCTATTCCTCTACAGAGAATTCTCTGTTTAGCTCTATTCCCCATTTTTTAATTGGATTACTTGGTTTGCTGCTTTTCAGCTTCTTTAGTTCTTTATATATACTGGATATTAGTCCTCTGTCAGATAAAGGGTTGGTGAAGATTCTTTCCCAATCTGTAGGCATTTGTTTTGTTTTGATGACGGTGTCCTTTGCTTTACAGAAGCTTTTCAGTTTCATGAGGTCCCATATATTGATTGTTGCTCTTAGAGCCTGTGCTGTTGGTGTTCTGTTCAGGAAGTTGTCTCCTGTACCAATGAGTTCTAGGGTATTCCCCACTTTTTCTTCTAACAGGTTTAGTGTGTCTGGTTTTATGTTGAGATCTTTGATCCACTTGGACTTTAGTTTTGTACAGGGTGATAAGTATGGATTATTTGCATTTTTCTACATGTAGACATGCAGTTAGACCAACACCATTTGTTGAAAATGCTATCTTTTTTTCCATTGTATGGTTTTGGCATCTTTGTCAAAGACCAGGTGTCCATAAGTGTGTGGGTTTATTTCTGGGTCTTCTGTTCAGTTCCATTGATCCACCCTTCTGTTTCTATGCCAGTACCATGCAGTTGTTATAACTGTTGCTCTATAGTACAACTTAAGTTCAGGGATGGAGATACCTCCAGAACATCTTTTATTGTAGAGGATTCTTTCTTTCCTTCTTTCTCTCTTTTCTTTGAATAAATAACCTTCTATTCAGAGACCAATTCAGCATTTCATTAGCTTAAGAGGTACAGAAACTCCATGTGGAAAAGGCAGATAAGCCTAGAAGGTTACGTTGGACGTCCTGTCTTGTGTCACTTACTGATCTGTCAAGGTGCACATAGTCCAATTTTATGTTTCAGGAGTGAACACGAATGCACAAGCAGTCAATATTTAAACCCAATTCCTAATACTTAAATCTATTGGCTATTTCTTTATTTTCACAAAACGGATCCCTAGGTTGCCCGGTAGAGTAGGAGGGAGCATTCACGAGAAGTGAGTATGGAGGATATATGGCTACAATGGTGATCAGCCGCACAAGTTGTCTCTTTCAAGCAGGCCCGGTTCTACAGAGGGTCTCATCTGAACATCTGTGAAACAGCAGTTAAAAACATGTGAATGATGGGGAGAGGCTCTTTTGCCTATACTGCTTAAAACAGGATTCTGATTAATCTGCAGCCTCTCCTTAATTTCTCCTGGCTCTTTGTTAGTTTCAAATCAAATAGTAAATGAGCACCAAACAAAACTCTCTAAATTTCTCTTGATCCTGCTTTCAAACTATATTTCATTGCACAAAGTTGCATTTCAGACTAGCGGGGACATGACGTATGGGATGAAGATGGAACATGTAGGTATGCATCCGTGTGGCCTGTGTTCGGAAGTCTTGTTCGTCTCAGTTTGTCAGCTCCACGCTATCCTTCGCTCTTTGCAAATTTCACAGTTAAAGAGATGGTACAATGTCATGGATACACGCTTCAGAATAGATTCCAGCGATGGTACATCACTCAGTGCCAGAATGCTGGCCTAGCACACAGAGTCCTAGCTCAGTTTGATCTCCCACGGTCTCTATCCAAAAAGCTGTCGTTCTCCTCAGGGGACTGACAGATCTGAAATACTCTGTTTTTTTTTTTTTTCTGTAAGATGTATTTATTATAGGTTGGGTAGAGTATACTAGTCAATTAAAGAGAGTATACTGACTGTCACTGATCCTTGCTGCGCCACAGAGAGTGAATGCAGGTGACAGGTGCTTAAATGAGTCTAGCCTTCTGGATAGAGCGTGAACTATCTAGACTCCTCACTCTGAGTGGACAGATAGGGCCATGACTGAAGTGGTGGAGCTGGGTTGGGAGGGCAAAAGGACCCCTCCTGCTGTGGGTCTCTTATCTTTATTTGTTCTGTATGGTGCATCTCCACTGCTGATGGTACTCACAAGTCTTGGGTTTCAGTTGTCCTTGTTCAAATGAACTATAACTTCACAGTGAAGGAATTTGTAATAAAGAAAAAAATTTTAAATTTAGTTTATGTGTATGAGTGCTTTGGTTGCATGGATGTATATGTCTAGTACCTGCGGAGGTCAGAAGAGGATACTGGATCCCATAGAACTAGAGTCACAGATGGTTGTGAGTTGCCATGTGGGTGCCTGGAACTGAATCCTGGTCCTCTGCAACAGCAGCAGATGCTCTGAACAGCTCAGCCACCACTCCAGTCCCAAGATACAGGTGTTAAGCACTCCTTGAGAGAATCTTTAGATCACAATTTCCTTTCACATGAAAATAGCAAACTTATTAGCTATTATGTACACAGACCCATTCAACTTGAAAATCTCAGTCCAATTTCAGCAAAGATGAAGAGGATTGCATGTGGGGCTATTTTAATTGGAATGTCACTGGGCATTCATGAATTCTCATCTTACCCAGGAAGAACCTCCAACA